ATGGATGGATATACATACATTTATATATATTTATATATATTGTAGCGCGTGCCCAGAGAAAGGCCACGTCCGCTTGTAAAAGGGCAATTCTGATGCTGTATCGTTCCATGTTTCATTGTTTTCCCTACGTGTTGGCATATGTATATTAAAACGTTCATTGCGTTACAGTGATTTCTATGTAACGTCTATGTACTAGTATGTTTTTCAATCGGTTTGGCCTGATTGTCCTAATTGGTGTTCTCAAGTTCTATTCGAGCTTGTGTGTCCTTCAATAATACGATATGTGCTCAAAGTGTACATACGCATGTGTACTGCACGATGATGCGACTGTAGTGGAGTTGAACTTGAATCTCTCAGATCTGTGTAGTCGATGAATGGATCATGCAGGAACACCAAATGCGCTATCTTGATGACAAATAATGATTTCTGCACACAATCACCAGTGACGATTCTCCATGGATGGGCAGTGGCAATGTGTGGGAGCTAGACAAAAGGTAAGGAACAGGTACATCAGAACCAAAGATAAGAAGCAGGTGCACCTGAACCAAAGATAAGAAACAGGTGCACCGGAACCAAAGATAAGAAACAGATGCACCTGAACCAAAGATAACAAACAGGTGCACCTGAACCTAAGATAGGAAACGGGTGCACCGGAACCCAATACTTCATGCGCAGGGAATTAATGTTGTACCCGGAAGCACATTCTTGGGTAGACCATTCAATGACTAATAGTAGTAGTTCAGTGCCTGAATCGGGTACGCGGCGAACACAACCTTATTTGTATACACAAGCACTTTGTCAGGCCAAAGCAATAGAGCTGCGCCAGTGTATGTGAGATCCGTTGCCACCGCAGTAGTGTACGCAGGGACTGACAAGCACCTGTTTAGTGTGAACCAACACTCTATATCTTGTCCTAACATAGTATCAGGCATGCAATCGATTACCGTGCATTTATAGTACCAACGAATGTGTAAACGTTTTGTCCACCACCACTCTTCCACTGCAGGCCAACACGTTAAATCCGGTCCTAACATAGTATCAGGCATGCAATCGATTGCCGTGCATTTATAGTACCAACGTATTGTATTTGTGTACTCGATCACTCTCCCACTGCAAACTTCTCCTTATCCGTCCCTAAAACGGTATACAACTACAGTCAGCTTGCCTATCCGTTCCCAATGTGGTATATGGCTACAGTCAGCTGCCATGCATTCATAGTAAATATTCGGTACTTTAATAGCAGTGACGTATTCGAGAAGGAAAACAGGGCACCAGTCTCTGCACAGCAGTTGAAACCATGCGTGAATTCGCCCGCCGCTCCCAAAGCATCGCTCTCCAACCAGGTATGCGAATGGCAATGCGGTCTCTGCTGTATGCTGAGGTTGGAGACACACGCAAAAGTTTGTTCACATACACTTACGTACGTGGTCATATACTAGTACACGCAGTGCCGTTGTATATCTGTGTACTTTGGAGGAAATCTTGCTCTCACAGTATGTAGTCGGGGAAACTCACATATTCTGAGCATGCACATAGACGCATACAATTGTATACAAGTACGTAAGCCAAAACGTTCTTGACACACACACATTTGGCATAGGGGTGAACGTACTTGTATTACACGTAAACTCCGGCCGTAAATGTGTAAGAATCACCGTGGGCACGACTAACAATCTGTGTGTTTGAAGACATATACCACTGGTAGGTGTGTATATGGGTAGTAGCACAGAGCCTGGGCCAGGCGGTAGTGTCATACTTGTCTAAGTTGAAATGTTTAAGAATCACCGTAGGCACGACTTACAAACTGTATGTTTGACGTCATACACCACTGGTAGGTGTGTATATGGGTAGTAGCACAGAGCCTGGGCCAGCCGTTAGTGTCATAATTGTCTACGTTCGGGAAATTGAAGGTTTCGCTATGTGCATGTATATGGTTGATATTATTCTTCTATCAAGTGGTTTGTACTAAGCGTACAGGTAGTATGTCGTCAATTACGGGGTACCTGTACAGTACTAATATATATTCAATTCGATGGTTGTTGTGTATCAATATATGAGTATATAGAGTATCTCGTACTCTTATACTTGTGCGATTAGATGGCGAACTAGAATCCTCAATGAACGCTTCTGTCACAGATGAAAGTATTTCACAATCCTGATTCTGAACTCTGATTCATACATTTTGAGCATCTATCACCATCCTAATTTTATTCGAATGTTCCGTACTTGAATGCAGCAGAGCGAATGGTCTTTCAGCGAGGAGGTGCAGAAGTTCGAGACCAATAGTCACGCCTGGGCAGCTGAAACTCGACACAAGGGCCTGTCAATAGGCCGAGAAAGTGCAGTCGCGAAGGTAGTATGACCAGGTCTATATATTTCGCGAAGGTAATATGACCATGTGAATATATATATATATATATATATATTTATGCATACATACACACACACACACACACACACACACACACACA